CCGGGGCGGCAGGCTCGGGCTGCATGGCCAACTATGCCACACGTTCACTGTTTCTTTAGTTTGTTGATTGATGCATGCCTGTAAGCATACAAAGGTAAAATTAGTTGCAGCGTCGTCTTCCATGGCTTCATCTCTGTTGGGTATGTGTGTGCGCGACTTGCTTGCGTCTTAAGGCTTTCCTCAATCCTAACGAAGTTGTTTATCAGTCATGCTTATCAGTCATGATACAGTGTTTTTCTCTCGTAACAAAACAGCATCAGCCGACTTATAAGTCACAGAAACGATCAAGCGAACAGGTGTTTACCGTTTAGAGTGTCGATGGTAAGAGAGATACTAACAAGCTGCTGGTATTTTAGTATTCTTTCTTCTCTACTAATACTGCCCGGCAAATTTCTTGCTGGCTGTTTTCGGGAAAAAGATAGTTTTAGTATTCAACGAGCAACGGAATAAGAAAAGTGCAAAATCAAAAGGAGAATATATATATATACACGTAGTGCGTACGTACCTGGGCTGTTGAAAGACGGGAATAACGTTTCAAATTCATGCAACTCGGTCGGATGGTGAAGTTGAGGCCCACGTAGCAAGCCTAACAGCCCAACCGTACATAGCAAGGACAGGAGAACTACTAAACCCTTGCCATCTCTATGTTAGGAAAAACAAACTGAAGGCACACATGAAAATTCATACTTTGAGCATATATGGGTTGTCAATGGTTATTACCCTTGTCATCCCTAAAAACGAAGGCCAAATTCCAAAATTTCCACAATAAAGCTAGTACCCAATACTTCTTTCAAAAAACTAGCTAGTACCCAATACGCGGTTAGTTGGTAATCAATATGTATGGATCTTAGCCCGAAGTATTGGGCAACCCATTAGTTGGTAGCAAAATATAAAAAATTAAATAGTATGATTTAATATCGACCATTCGGAGGGCGTATGTATCTGTATGTGGTTTAATTTTCATGTTTCAAAGAAGCTATCAGGAGGTTTGGTATGCAGTAGCAATGGAGGTATAGCATACACTGGACGTTTTTTTTTTCAAAGGATCGACTAAGAGCAACAAAATCATAAAAGTAGAATTTTCTTACCTCCCATGTACGTATCAGGGGAAAAAAACTGATACTTCTGACGTTTTCGGCAGCAAATTTGACTTGCGTATATGTAGTTCAATTTTGCTGTGTGAATCGATCGTTATCGAAAAGTGATTAGCTAGCTAGAGGTAGTATTGTCACCATGATTGAACATGAACTATATATCCATCAGCCCATCACCACCACATACCCTTTATTTGTTACCTGACATGACCATGCTCTTGGTGGTCATCTTCATATAATGAGAAATCAGAACATATTTGCACTCCCTCAATTTACTAGTGTGACACATATATAAGCTTAATTACGGTCATCAAATAAAAAAGAAATAAAGGCAATGCAACATCACACAATTAAGGAAAATATGATGTATGATCCAATATATGGCTTACGAAGCATGAAAACTTAGCTTGCCCCGTTCGGCTTACCTCATATTTGGCTTGTTTGGCTTCTTTTTTCAGCCGGATCAGTGTTTTTCTCTCACAATAATTCAGTCATAACAGTGTTTTTCAGCCAGTTTCAGTCAAAATTCTGCCAGCCGAACGGGGCCTACGTAACTCCTAGGCCAGGTGTTGTTGAATTTTATAGCACTTGATTCCTCTTGATGTAACATGTGCAAATTAACAACACACGTTTGCAAAAGAAAATTTAAAACACTTGCCGTTCTAAAGGTTTGGACTTTAGAGTCAACATTTTGCTACACCTCTAACACACTTCAAGACTTTTGTTCTTTTCGACAACTATTAATATCATCTCTAGCTTGGTCACCTTGACACAAACAATTCATGACGGCGCGGCGTTTTTCTTAGATCTTCAACTTGGTGGTTAATTCTATATGTGTATGTTATCTTTTGCAACCTATTCAGTTTATTTCTTCCAGAACCTATTATATGCAGTTTAAGCCCATCCATACCCTTGATCGATCCTATCACTTGAGGGCTTGTTTGGATGCACGTTTATTCCACACCAACCCACCACAACACACATGGATTAAGGTGGATACATGGACATTCAAACAAGGCTTTGAGTTGAGTCCACGTCCGGACATGCTTGCACTATCGTTACTTTTAGAGAGTAGCTGCAAAATTCCAAATTAAAGGCGTCTAGATCTAGCATACATGCGGGTGCTTATTCTTCCCCATCATGCGAGTGGCCATGCTCAGATCTGGTACAAATGTCTACCTAGACTGCAGCTAGCTTAGCTAGTTAGCTAGCTGGTTCTCTCATGCACGTTCCGACGGCGATTCATGCATGTCTATCTCGAGTCCACGTCCCATAGCTTTCATTCATGCATGCCTCCGTACATGTTTCTGTGGTGTCTCGATCACGGATCACTATACTGCTACCTGTGGTTGTGATCCGAACTGATCGATGCAAACGATTGACGAGGAATTTTCCATGTTAACAGTTCATTAACACGGTTTGTTTCTGGGAAAATCATCGTTGCTGACAGTCACTAATGATGTTTTCCATGTCAGGGGCTACGCTGGAGGAAGGGACGGGGGCGGCCATGTCGGAGGACGAGGACGAGCCGCCGATGCTGGAGGGGGGACTGGACATGGGCTCGGACGGGCACGACATGATGGGCTTCGGCCCGCTCCTGCCCACCGACTCGGAGCGCTCACTCATGGAGAGGGTCAGGCAGGAGCTTAAGATCGAGCTCAAGCAGGTTAAAAAAAGAAGAAGAGGAAGAAGCAGCATTGTGATATACTATTGCAAACTAAACCGTGTGAAAGCTTTTGGTTGATGTGAAGTCACGTCGAATTCGTTGCAGGGTTTCAAGTCAAGAATAGAGGATGTGAGGGAGGAAATTCTGAGGAAAAGGAGGGCCGGGAAGCTGCCTGGGGACACCACCAGCATCCTCAAGCAATGGTGGCAGCAGCACTCCAAGTGGCCATACCCCACGGTGAGTGCATTGTAGCTATCATGCATGCATGCAAGAATGCAACCAGTCATCTGCTGCTGCTACCGATGCATACACTGATGGTGTGGTGTGGTGGTCGCTCTTCTGAGCTGTTCTCCATATATCCAACAACTTGCTGATGAAGCTTATTGCTGGCAATATATATATTCCTCGTGGCATTTAATTAATTATGTGGTTGTTAAATGAGTTAAAAGATATGTGGTTTGTAAAGTATCGTGTATGCATATCCTAAAGATGGTATCATCTGAGTGGCTGGTACAGGAAGACGATAAGGCAAAGCTTGTTGAAGAGACTGGCCTGCAGCTGAAACAAATCAACAACTGGTTCATCAACCAGAGGAAGAGAAACTGGCACAGCAACTCCCAGACGTCAACCCTCAAATCAAAGCGTAAAAGGTGACCAATAATGCTCTCTCCAACAATGCATGATTACTGATTAGATACATCTCTCGTGTAACTTTGTAGTAATATTCTCCATAATCATATCCCTACGGTTACTGACACAAATGTATATATGTGCATCAGGTGATGGAGAGCTAGCTGCTGCACAATGTAATGCACACCTGCTGACACATATACCAACACGCTAATCAAAGGAAGCTCGACGACCATGGTGACTCACAAAAAATAAAAAGGATCGACCGATTCAACTGTATATCTAGTGAATAGTCAGAGGTGACAGGTTCATGACACACACACACACGTACACTAGTCTGACCACTGGCATATTTGTTTGCTGTGATTTTTGAGCTGATGTGCTCAGAGCATACTTTATTCTTGTTATTATTGTATAGCCATAGTTTGTCCCCCAGCGTACATACATAATCTGAGGATTAAAAATCCCATTCCCTGTGCACATATATATAGTGATCTGATCTGACCATCATCTGCTGGCAGAAAGAGAGGGAGAGAGAAAAAACAGAGGATCCATTCATGTTTGTACCATAAGCTGCTGCTACTTTATTTGTCAACAATAATCTGTTCCATTCATCAGAAAATATGGTAGCTATCTATGCCAATCATAACATCAAATACAGTTGGCGTAATACAATTCAGACGGCTAGCTGCTACTTGGATCAGATCGGAATCTCTATCGCCGTGTGGGCCTTGTATCGATTAGGTGTACCAAATTGAAATTGGACAGCCCGGTGGAGATTTATTGGACGATTAGGCCTAACCAACACCACAAGACAAATTAAGGCTGGAGCAGCACAGCCTCTCATAATAATCCCAAAGTTTTCCGGCGCATAACGAGCAATCCTTCTCGCAACGACAAGACCGATTCCGATTAATGCCTACAGTTACATGATTACAGATACATACATCGTCTCTGATTATTGTCTTGAAGAGATAATTGTTATGCAACTTGTCAAATATTCCTATCGATTGATGTTGGAGCTAGCTACGTCTCAACCAAGGACAGCTCCGTTGAGACCTCGCTATCTTGGAATCAAACAAATGATTGGTTTATCAGGCGAAAAAGAAAGAGGACAACTGGACAAGAAGAAAAAAAAGATGATAATCACAGACTGAGGGTTGCTGTCTGTCTATTCATCTCTTCCTACGATAATAACATGTATGAAAGGCACTGCTCCGTGCTCGTGCTCATAAGCATTTCATTCCTTCACTCCACTATCAAACGTTATAAAAGTTGTGATTATCATACAGAGCAAATGAACTCACAACCACAACACTCATTCATGTTTAACATGACTCAGACAAGCTCCAATCATTCATCGAAAACAGAAGACCAACAATCTCCACGTACGTTGTCAAAGTTCAAATACAGATTAAATTTTCAATTCACTCCCATTCCTTATTCGAAAAAGGATAAACTCAACACGATATGATCAACACAAGTCGTTGATGAGTTGACCATAGAAAATAGAAATATTGTTCACCGAATACCACCCTGAGCAGTCCTACTGTTTACATGTGCACGATATTTGGTTGCCTAGCAAAGGCATCTCTCCTGTCGTGTGCTCTTTACTTGGCAGGGTAACCCTGTGTGGGGTAGGAACCTTGTGCTGGAGGGTAGGAGCCTTGTGCTGGAGGGTACGAACCTTGTGGAGGGTAAGAACCAGGCGGAGGATATGCACCACCCTGGGGGTAACCTTGAGCAGGTGGAGGGTATCCACCAGCCTGTGGGTAACCTTGAGCAGGAGGGTATGCACCGCCCTGGGGGTATCCAGCTGGCGGATAACCTTGACCAGGAGGAGGAGGTGGATAGCCACCATAAGGCTGCCCATATGCTGGTTGTGGTGCATATCCAGCAGGAGGCGGCATAGGCTGATCAATGCGTGACATTTGTTGCACTGGGGGCACTGCCATGGGCTGTGGGCCGAACTTTCCATCCCTCTTGTCCATTTCGACTTTGTGCTGCGTCTGGATTTGCATTTCAATGCCAAAAGAAGGATACGTAAAGGTTTGGTTCAGAAGAGCCATGATCAGTAAGGTTGCAAGAAGAAATGGATGAATTATATACCTGCATACAAGCACAAACCCTGCAAAAGAATGTGGCATAGGATTATCAGAACTGAGACCTTTACTATGGAGATTTGCAAGAAGAGAGTTAAGGGAGCCTTACGTCCAGTAGACCAAATCAGACAGACAGTTAAGGATCTGGGAAGCCTCTGAAAGCTCCTCGCTGCCAACAATAGCTGCAACTATAGAGAAGATGCAAGCAACTTGTTGAAGGCAGAACATGAAGCCCTGCAGTAAAAAGTGATATTCAGTCCAAGTGACATCGAAGAAAGAACATGAACCCTCCACAGGACCTTGAATTGCATCAGACAGGAAATTTAAGAGGGAAGTGGGGTTACAATGATGCAGTTGTCGCACTGAGTTGTCTGTATGTTGAATTCATCTTGCAGCAAGAAGCGGGTTGATGCAACTGAATTGCCAAAGCAAAGGCACACCTGAAAAGAAAGCAGGCCTTAGGTTAGAAGGTAGAGAGACAAAACATCAGAAGTTTTAATGTGAGAAATGGGGCCTTATATCCATATTGTCCCAATTATACAATGACAGTGTATTGATTAAATACCACAAGAAAAAAACTTGCAAGATAAAATTATCTGACCCTCGGTGATCATTTTAGGCCGAATACACTGTGTTTTCAGGCATACCATGAATACATAAAACTGAGATCAGGAAATATGAAAGATTCAATAAGATCATTTTAAACTACAGGCATTAATAGGAACCATCAGTTACCAAGTCCGCATAAGAAATATTAAACATGTTATACATGGAATTCAAGCACGTGTAACCATATACTAAGAAGTACAGTGCGAATAAACAGCAGGGTAAAATGCAACTTGAGTGAGCCTTGTCCTTGTACCTCAGTTGCAAGACAGAACTCTGGGCACCGGCTCTCGCCACACTTTCCACTGCATGGCATGTAGCCAGCACAACAGACATATCTACACCACAAAGAAGAGCGACAGGGATAAGTAATGGGGTATTAAAAAAAAGTTCCAGCGATAACCATAACAAAACAGAATAGGGTGCACAGCACCTTGACATGTCATTGTAGAGAGCCCTTTTGCGAAGCATGTACGACACGCAAGGTCCACTGAACAGAAACAGGAAAATGCAGCAGATTAACAAATGGGTAAAAATGTTCACACTTCCAAATGGTGACCATGCCAACCAATGCAAGCACATTACAAGCCTTGTTACACATGTTAGACTAGCATCACATGCTAACAATGGAACGTGGTTAGACCCACCATATCATCAATGGAAATACAATAATCTTTAATTAGATTTAAACCTCTCTATTGAAACAGAAATGAAATCTGGTTATTCATACTCTGGAATGAACTTGAAGGCAGAACGGACATTATTGGTCAGAACTCAGAACCCATCAGAAACAAAAGACGATGCACTCTTTCACTGCCCATTGGCCCAATTAACCTGGTGCATCTAACAAAGGGATGTAGGGGAGGATCATTTCCATGTTCCTGTTTAAGATTTCTACATTAACTGGCTCCAGGGAGGAATATGAAACTGACATCTATACACTTTTGGGATTGCGGCAGCTACTGCATGGGCTACGCGCAATTGTCAGTTTGTCACAAAGACATGAATTCCTAGAGACAACCTGGCAGGCCCAGTCATCATTCATTCATTTCTAGTTCAATTGCTGCCGCAGAATAAACTTTAAATGCAGAAGGAATAACAAATTCAGGATATGCTCCTCAAAAAAGGAGCAATGCACAACGCGGAATCCGCGCGGAACCCTTGGAAACCAAAATTCCCTAAAACCCTAGCCACAGCGACAGTGCCGGCCCTGGAGGGGTGCCAGAGGTGCGACGGCCGAGGGCCCATGGGAGTGAGGGGCCCAGGCCCAGGTATACGATACCCCCAGCCCTTAGTACGTAGAATACCATGTACGCGAGCGCGGTGCGCCACAGCAGCCGAATGCGAAGAGGCAGAGGAGTCACGGAGGGACGGAGCCGCCGCGGACTCGACTCACCTCTCACGGAGTCACAGAGACACGGAACAGATCACAAATCAGGACCGCGCACGTCCAGGCGGCGATCAGGGGGGCAGACCGGCAACCGGCATAGCACTCCAGGGCCCAGGCTGGCAGGCTCGACTCGATCAGCCGATCACTGCAGTCTGCAGCTGATCATCACTTCATCAATCATCAGTTCATCAGCTGCCGATCAGGCCCTAGCCCCTAGGTATTTTTTTCCTTGATCGTTTTTTAATCCTGTAGATGCAGTGTTGTGCCTGATGATAATCCTATATATTGAAGAACAAGGGCAGCAACAAGTTAATGATAATTTAAGTGAAGAAGTTGATGCCAATGATGATGCTATAGAGAATAAAAATTTACAGCCTTCCCCTCAACCTGAAAATTCAATTGATGATGTGCAATAAGCTTCTATTCATGATGTCTTTGATCCTAGAACTTGGAGAAATCTTGATAATAAGGGTAGAGATATATTGATTGAAAAGGCGCCGGTGAGAGAATTGAATCTTGAGTTCCCTGTAGATGCTCTTAATAGACGTTTTTCATATGTTTACTACTCCAGAAAGTTAACCAATGGTGAGGTGGTTGATAGAAAATGGTTGGTTTACTCTAAACATGTGGACAAAGTTTTTTTGTTATTGCTACAAATTGTTCAAATCAAGTCAAAGCAAAAGTTTGCTAGCACATGATAGATTTATATATAGTCTAGAGGGGCAGTTATATTATATAAGATTTATAAATAGTCTACAGGGGCCGTCACGACGAATTCGCCGGAGGGCCCTCGAAATCCTAGGACCGGCACTGCACAGCGACCAATTAAGTATCCGCAGATCTACGGAAGGCGAGGGGTTCGAGACTCAAAACCCGCAGAAGACGATGAGATCGGCTAGGTAGGATCGATGGAAGGCTCACCACCACAGCGCGAGGCAGCAGTCTGCAACCACAGCGACAAGAGAAACCCATCAGGACGGGACACAAGACGAGCTCCCCCGCGGGGATCGACCAGATCAGGCCCCGGCAGAGGTTCGGTTGGGAACGAATCGAAGAGTGAGGGGCGGCGGCTACGTACAGGGGAAGTCGGCCTTGATAGCGTTCGTCATGTCGGTGTGCCAGACGTTGCGGTAGCTCTGGCGGAGCTGCATCTTGTCGAGGTTCGCCTGCGACGACGCCATCGCCGCCTCCGCCTCCGGGTATGTCGCCGATCTGGAGAGGCGATTGGTACGGCGGGCTCTGCTCCGCTTGGACTTGGACTTGGGGGAGGCGGGCGTGGCGAACACGGTGGGGCTGGAGCAGGATGGGGGGCTCTGCACCTCGGCCTTTGGCTTTGGGAATTGGTTGGGGCGAACACGGGGGAATGACAGGTGCATGGCCCAGTTGTCTCGTTGCAGATTGCAGTCGTGTGAGTTGGGCTGGACCCGATGATACTGGGCCGAGCGGTCATCGTTGGGCCGATACGAGATGCATTTCCCTTCCCTTCTCCTTCATGCAATGCAATGAAAAAAAAAGAAGAGCAACCAGAGCAGGAAACCGGAACAGTTGAGAGGCATATGGTCTGAAAGAAGGTTGGATGCTAGCGCAGCTGGACTAGAAAGCCACGGACGGAAATAAATCCGGACACGATGCACGCAGCGCGCTCAAGTCCAACACGGAAATACGTAGTACAAGCGCAGGCGTGTCTTGCGCGAGAAGTCCTGGATATATATATGTTTTCTCCTCTGTCATCTAATTCTCCCCCCTCCGGCCTCCGCGGTCAGAATCGAACGAGCTCGGCTAGAGAAGATGACGAAGAAATCTCCGTGAGATACCGAGAGATCCCTTGCAATTTTCACCTGCAAGTTCATTCCCCCGGGGGCTGCTGAAGCCGAGATCGCCATCGCACCGTGTGGCGGCATGTGAGCTAACTAACCCGACGCGGTTGACCCGCCCGCTTGCTTTGCTTACCATGGAGGGCAAACACAGTGACGTTGCCTGCGTTACACATCTGACCTGTTCCATGAAGTTTCCTCTCTCGCCTGTATCTGGATTTGATTTATGGACCTGATTGGGTCATTTAGAACTCGTTGCTAGTTCACTGGTTGTTATGATCAAAATATATGTGTCTAAGGTGGTGTTTGTTGCCCCTCCTAAATTTTAGTCGTTGTCCTATCGAATGTTTGACACATGCATGGAGTATTAAATATAGACTGATTACAAAACTAATTACATAGTTGCGACTAATTTACGAGACGAATCTTTCAAGCCTAATTAGTCTATGATTTGACAACGTGGTGCTACAGTGACATGTGCTAATGACGGATTAATTAGGCTTAAAAAAATCATCTCGTGGAGTACTGACGGATTATGTAATTTGTTTTTTTATTAGTATCCGAACACCCCATGCAACATCCTTCCGACACGCCTCCTAATTTTTAGTCACCGGATCTAAACACCACGTAAATTTAGCCATATACTGTTTGAATACATGGCTTGCTTTGGCTCTTGTTTGCTAATTAGTGGGCAGGCTAGCTGCTAGTCGAGGTGTCAACTAAAATCATTTCATCCACTGTTTTTTTTTTCTGTGTTAATCTAGAACTAAAATTGTTATGGCACTAAAGAGGCACTACCTCTGCCCAATGCAATTGTCGTCAATGAGAGCTCCCTGCCTCCCTGTCTTTTGACACCCTGCAGAAAAAGCCAGAGCCAGAGCCCAGAGCAGAAGTATCGTTCGGCAGCTTCACCTCTGTACCTCCGGCTCCTCCTTGGACCACCTAGAAACACTCCTCCACCTCAGGCTCCTCCAAGCCGGCACCAAATATACGTTGTACATCCAATCCAAATATGAAATATCCAATATCCAGCATGAGCATGTGTTGGAGTGGCACCGGTGAGCAAATCCAAGCCGTTATTTCGGTTGGCGTCGACGTCAGCGCCCACCGCCTCGAGGGAAGTGGTTGGGTGCAGCAAGTAGCTCTGTAGATAGAGAAAAGGATCTACCTGCTGCTTTTGCTCCCCGTCCTCCAAGCAAAATTGCCAAGAGAAGTACTTACGGGAGTGGGATGAGAACCTGATTCGGATAAGTCTTCATAATCGCAAATCTCCTCGATCTAGAAACCCCACCATGGTGCCTGATCTGCTTTACATTCACAATTAACCGTTGCCATCTTCAAAAAGAAGCTTCTTATCACGGTCGTAAAGGGAAACAGGAGACGGATTAGCGGATAGTGCCATAGTGGAGCTGGCTCAGCAGCCCCTTGAGCTGAGACCGGACTGACTCACTCACTCACCGACTGATGTGATGGATGTAAAAAAAAAAGAGCCAGCAGATAAAGATGTGACGCGAGGCGCACTCGGGTTTCACGGTTTGCACGATTCAGGATTTCAGGTGCGCCTGACGTGGCCGGTGGCCCACCTTGTCTTATCTCTTCATCGTCAGTCATCACCCTCCGTTTGGCCTCCTGTCAGGGGTGAAATATCTAGCGTCTCATACGTTCTCTCTGCTTTGTTTCGTTGCTGTGAATATCTAGTAGCTGTCCTGCGTAAGCAGCAACGAACATCGTCGGCATGTGGAATGGCACCGTCCAGTTTGTCCGCCGTCGCCGCAGCGTGGCGCGAAGCGTGTCGAAGTCGTTCTGCACCTGCAAGTCTGCAACAGCAGCGGATCGGAAACCCACGCTGGCTGCGTCTCTAGATTTGGATCACTCAGAGCGTGTAGGAGTTTCCTAAATCCCTTAGTTTTCAGAAAGACGAGAAAAACTCATCTCCCACAACTTATAATTCATTCTCCTAATCTTTTAAAATTTAGGAAAAATTGCCATGTTCCGCGTAAAGTTACGCACTTCGGAGTCATCTTCTCTCTCCCGCGCGTGTTTGTCGGCCAACCTAAAGGTAAAAGGGCGTGGAAAGAATAAAGAGTAGGAAATGGTTTTTAATGCAAATGTACAAGAAAAAGAATATATCAAAGTGGTTAGGATAATTTAGAAATAGTATAGAATTTCTGATGTAAAATTGTCTTATATATTTTAGGAGTGGATTATTAAGAACCCTTAGAGATGGTCTTTTTTATTCATTTCAATATTTTTTAGAGTTATAAAACTTTATCTTTTTAGCGACAAAATATTGGGTTCTTGAGAATCTCTTGTTTCACGACACGGCGGTCCATAATCTCACACGTTATTTCTGGACAAAAGCGTTGTAGTACTCGCAGCGTAGTTTCGAGCTCTCGGTGTGTAGCGTGTACTGACTGACTGCACCTTCTTGTGTCCCCGAATGTGAATCAGCTCGACACCACCCAATTTTCTGACCGGCCGACTGGAATGGAAAAAAAACCAGCTAGTATTAAATCGACTTCTCCTGATTTTACATCTAGTTTGCTGTTAGTGAAAAATACTGTTCCACGACTGATTTATACGAATTAAAGCCGACTGAACGGCACAAGCAAAGAGAGCCTCAGAGCACTATAGCAGCAACAATAGTCTCATCTCATCGATGGGAATTTCCGACGCGGTTCATGAGCGGAAACATCTTGGCTATTCATGAGGAGTTCTGGATTCAACTAGAAAGTTCAATTCGCTCCACGCCGGTGCGATGTTTGTTTGTCAAACAAGTAACAGATCAGTGGCGTCGTCGTGAAGATTCTCTCGACTAACTAGTTAATTAAATAAGTTTTGTACCCAGCTGACACTATTATAATCCGGCCTAAACATCACATGTATGCCCGAGAAATCCACGATTACGTCCTCATGCACGCATTTCCTTCAGCTTCAGCCCTGAAACGGAATACACAATTTCGGCAGAATCGCTGGAGTCTGAATTTTCAGCAGAAAACATGTACCCGCGTATCCCCGCGTGGCGTAATAAACTGCTCGTGCTCGAGAAGACGACCCTCGTGCTCCTGAAACACCCGTGATTGAACCGTGACGTTTCCAAGCCTTCGCAGGTGCATCTGCCCAGCTCGCAGCAAGCCGCCGGCCGGGTCGTCAAGATTCTCGTCAGGGTCCAAGCCAAGGGCGGCTGAACCTGAACCCCGGGCATTTTCAAAAATCGTTGGCGGCTGAGACCAACCAACCAAACGCTCTGGTCGATCGGCGCAATAAACAAAAACCACGGTGCGATGCGGGCAGGGCAGCCATGGGCGACCGGGGTTTCCTTCCATTCCCAAGGATTCCCGCCGGTAAAAACTGTCCAAGGCGGCAGCGACGCGTGATGATTCGCAGCCGACCCGCGCCACGGGAAAGAAAAGGGACCCCCCGGGGCCCGGCCGTTAACGGTTGCCGCGCGCGTGCCGCGGCCGGTGGCTCCACATGGCGGCCTCGCGGGAGACCGCAGATCGCGGCACATGGCCAGCCCAAGTGGCGCCCACCGGCCATGAATCATGAATGAATCTGCGACCGAGCTGCAATGCGTTCTGGCTGTGGTCCGGGGTCGGGGCCATGTGGTTTCAATCTGGGACCCCCCTGTGGGAGGCTGGGAGGATGGGTGGATGTCGCTCGCGCCACATGGCTTCCATGTGTTTTTCCTTCCCAACGCACGGGTTTCTTTCTTTCGTTCTCGTGAATTGACGATTCGGCTCGTTTTCTGCCGACTACTCACTCCTACGGTCGTTGAATCTCTGATGTGAATCGCAGAGTCAGAGTAGAACGTTCGGAGGCGACAGGTGGAAGGAGGAGTACGTCGGACTACTGTGTGGACAAATGAGCTTCTAGAATTATTCTGTTCCCGCGGCGTTTCTTTTTTTTTCTAGCGGAGGAGGTCATCAGACGTGACTCGCAGAGTCGTACGCCATTAGCGTTCTTGTCTCTGGCCCAGTTCGGGACACGGCGGTTCCTGTACGAGTTTTCCCTAAGACCGTGAACGTCCCGTGCTGTGCGTGGGTTGGAAGACCATGCTTTTATTAGTGCAAAGATTCTGTAACCGGTTATGGACTCGACTAAAATTCTTTCTTCGAATCAGAAATCACCATGCTCTCTCGCGAGTCGTAAGCGAACGGAAATCGTACCGGCACTCCGCGCCGAACCCGTGACCAGTCGAGCCGCGGGTACGCGAACGCGAGCCGTCCGCTTGCATCCCCGCAAGCGCAGCCGGGGGCCCGGACGGGCGGAAGCTTCTCAACCCCCTCCCACGCAGCGGCGGCGGCGTGGCGACGCACGGCACGCCCCCAGGCCCGTTGCGCTGCCGTGGCCGTGGGGCCACCCGG